TGGTTGATTTTTGTAAGTTGTACAAAATTCTGTTGCATATGGCAGAAAAACAAAAATTTTAACAGCAGAAAGACTATATATGCTTTAAATCTTAGAAAAGATAGTTCTAATTTGTTTCTCCTTCTGGATTCATAATTTTGATTATTGGTACCTCCAGCCCTCAGTCACTGCAGTTAAATAGAGAAGGGAAGAAGGATTGAAGGGTTGAAGTGGTACTGATGTAAATGAGGAAAGAGGTCAGTGCCCAGATTGATTTGGGGAAATGAATTTAACCAAAATAACATGACTCCCCAAGTCTTCCATAAAAAGGTCTATTGTTCTAATGATTTTTGAAGAGCAAGAACTCTGTCTTAATCATTCCAGCCCATCCTGACGCCACCCTTTATGTCTTGTTACCAAGTTGGCATCTCTAAATGTATGTAGGTCATGAGGATAATCCCAGACTGCCAGGGAAGAAAGGAGTACGTCGACTGAAAGCACCACCTCAGTACAGGGATTTTTCTGCTTCTCTGAGTGATACTTACTTTCAGGGAGCGCCAAACCTACTCTACCCTAGTCAATGACTACTAGACTACTGATTTTCACTATGATTGTGGATTCATTCTAGAAGAACTAGTGAAAGTGATGAGAACAGGGCAAGTTAAAACACCACAGAGTTCACCATTCTTAGGAAAATACAGCCTTGAAAAATTGTTGCAAACTTAGTTGCAAACCCTTGGTTAATTATCAGAATTATGAAAATTTTGATTGTGACAAATTTTCTCAATATTTTGTCTTTATGGAGGAATGGTAGGAAGGACTATATTCTACTATTCATATAAACCTACCTTGTTCAGTACTTTGAAGCTATTATTCCATGTGTCTGCTTCCACTCCTTCCACTACAAAGTCAACTGCAGTGTAATTGTTCCCATGAGAACAGTCTTTTTTCTCTGGTTACTTATGTAAGATTTTCTTCCCCTTTTTTAACAATTTGACTAGTATACCTAGGTGTGATGTTGTGTTTACTCAGCTTGCACTTGATAGGGCTTCAATTCAATTCTCTTTTCACTCTGAAGTTCTAATTACATAAAGCTCTTCAACATATCCTGTTTGCTTTCTATTTCTCACCCTCACCATAAAGACAATGACATGCTTTGCCTTGATATGCTTCAGGATAACTATTTTCTTCTAAATTATGAAGTTTTTAAACTTTTTTAAACTGTTGACTATTTAGCAACTAAACCCATTCCCTACATTCATAATTTATTGTATTTTTTCAGTTCTAGAATTTCCCTCTGGTTCCTTTTTATAATTTCCAATATTTGTCCAAAATATTCCATATCTTTAAATTCTGAGTATATTTTTAAAGATGCCTTCTCGGGCCCTCCCTGGTGGCGCAGCGGGTTAAAGCACTGCACTAAGAAGCTAAAGCCACTTCCACAAGAGTTGATTACTGCCTGCCCTGGAGGAAATCCACATGGGGCGGCAGACCTCTCCTGACCCGCCCGCTACTCCCCTCAGCTTTGTACTTCGTAGATCTGCCTGCTCTGCTCCTTGCTCTGTCTCTGGTGAATCCTCTCACCCTCCACATCTCTGGCCTGTACCCCAGTTCTGTATGAATAAATAAAATCTTCAAAAAAAAATGCCTTCTTTGGGGCCCTCCCTGGTGGCTCCAAAAGGTTAAAGTCCAGCACTATGAAGCTATCTGCAGCCACATGGTGCCGCAGACCTCTCCTGTCTCGCCCACTGCTCCCCTCAGCAGTACATTTCCGTCAACCTGCCTGTTCCATTCCCCACTATATCTGGTGAATCCTTTCAACCCTCCCACACCCACCACCCACACTTCTGGTCTACACCCAAGTTCTTGTATGCATAAAAAAAAAAAACTTTAAAAATAATAAAATGCCTTCTTTGGCGAATTCACCAGCTGTGAATGTTTGTGGTTTGTTTCTATTATCTGCTTCTTTCTCTTGGTTTTTGGTCATGGTCTGTATCCTTATACATTAGTGTGAATGCTTTTTTTAAGAAGTGTAGTCAGCTATGTTTTATGACCACATGATATACATAATACTTTTTAAACTAGCATTCATTTAAGAGCTTTTTTTTTTCTATTTGGCAGCTCCCCTGTGACTATGCAGGTGCTTCTTTTTCTTTCTCCTTTGCCTAGTAAACTTGTTCATTAAAATGTGTGTGTGGGGGGGGAATTTTCTGATAATTATACTCCAATATTGATGCTTCATATTTAATTACCTCTCAATAAATGATAGGGCTTCCTTTATATTTCTCATTTTTAGGTCAAGTTCACATGACTTAAAATCTTGAATTATAATTGCATTTTGTATATCAACAAAGGTGTATAACCACCCCTGCTAGCTCCAACACATTTCCAGCATTCCCAAAGAAAATGCCATAATCATCAAATAGTCACTCATTTCTGCCCTAAACTCAGTTTTGACGACCATGAATCTGTTTCTACAAATTTACCTATTCTGGGTATTTCATCACACATGAACACTTGATTCTGATATTTCCCTCTTAACATATCTTTAAGTTTTATTCACGTATTAGCCTATGTACTTCACTTTATGGCTCAGAAATATATACCTTTTTCCCATTTTTATGTTAATGGGCATTTAGGTTGATTATACTATTTTGTTATTATAATGTTACTATGAATATTTGTGTACAAGTTTTGAGTATTTTCTTTTTCTTAAGATACCTGGAAGTAGAATTGATGGGTCATGTAACTTCATGTTTAACTGTTTTCAGGACTCACCAAAATCTACATGGATGGAGCTATTTTATATTCCCACCAGCAGTGTTTGAGGGTTTCCATTGAAACATCTTCACCAACATATGTTTTTCTGCTAAGTATCTTTGTAGATGTGACATTGTTATCTCATTGTGGGTTTGATTTGCAGGTCCTTGAAGGCTGTCACCTTTGGGGTGGCAGTATTGGAACCTAGCTGGAAGAGGGAAAAATTACTCAAAGTCCATGTGGAACAATGAGAAGCCTAGAGGGGTCACACCGGAAGTAATGTGCAGCCCCCATCCAAAGGCAGCCTCACATTTATCGACTACAAAGGTGGGGCAAGTACATAGGGAGTGTACATGGGTGGGGGATGGGGTCAGGGATATAAGCTAGGGTGGAGTAACCAGGGGCTATCTCGCTGGGGGCTCCATTGCCTGCCAGTCTAAGCCTATTACCTCTATTCTGTCTGCTGTTATCAGCAGATACTGGTTTCCCAGTTTGTTCACACACTAGTACTTTTACCTTTGGTGAGAAGCACGCCCCATGACCCTATACGTAGCTGAAAAGCAGGAACTCTGGGCACCAAGACAGTATTTCTGAAAATAAGGGGGGCTGGAAATTCTACAAGTTACACTCTTACTGCTCCCAAGACTATCTTTAGCTTTCAATCGTTTGATTATATTTTATCTTTTGGATCTGTGTTTATTCTATTTGAACTTCTGGAACATGTACTTTCAATTTTTGTGGGCAAATTGAGGTTTTGACCATTTCTTCAAACATTCTTCCTTCCTTCCCCTTCCCACCCCTTCTGGTACTCCATCTATGCAAATACTGTTATGTATCATTAAGCTACATTAAGTCTTTTAAGTTCTATTTATATTTCTTTCATTTTTTTCTTTCTGCTCCTCAAAATTGGAAAATTTCTATTTACCTTCAAGTATGCTGAAACTTACTATCATCTGCTCATATCTGCTTTGAAATACTTTTTTATTTCAAATATACTTTTCAGCTTCAGATTTGTATGGCTCTTTTTCAGTTTCTTTACCGGTATTCTTTATTTGTTCACATTGTTCTGAATCTTAGTTCTATAGCAAATTAGAGACACTTGGCTTAAAAGTCTAAGTCCAAATATGTGCTTCCTTGGAATAATTTATTAATTTCTTCTGTGAATGGGTCACTTCCTTTGTATGCTTATATTGCTGAAAACATTTTGATTACTGCAATAACTTTTGAATTTTGTAATGTGTAACTTTGGAAATCAGATTCTATGTCTCAGATTTTTGTTCCTTACTGTAGGCTATGTTATTGTTTAGTGACTGACTTCTAAACTATTTAGAACTGTTTTGTAAAGTCTTGGTGTACTGGTCTTTTAAGTTTTCCTTTTGCTTGCGGTTCAGCTAGTGATGGTAGAGACTTCCTTGTGCATCAGTGGAGGAACTGGTCACTGAAGTTATCTATTCTGTCATTTTTGGTGATAGGTATTTTTAGAGTACTTAACATTGTATATGAAAACTTATAGAGTTCTTTAAGGCTCTGGTTGTTAAAATTTTCCAAATACTTGTTTTTACACCTGTCATGCAGTTAGCTGTATTAGTGTTCCTAGGTAACTCTGACAACTAGTGAAGGATGACTTAAGTAGGCTTTGGGCCCTGCAAAAGCCAGCCTGTTTTCCATTCATTTACACTAAAATGTGTAGCCTACTGAAAGTTAGGGATGTTTACTGTGGTGGTAGCTGTATAGATATTTATTTTAGAAAGTGTAATGCAAGCTGCTTAATCCTATAGACTTAACCACTGCCAGATAATGGGGCAAGCAAATTAATGCAGAAACCAAATTTATTAATAATATGTTTATTGATATTACCCATAGCTTATGTTGACATCTGATTTTGCCAAAAAATTGTATGATTTCAATATAATATTGTTACCTTGCAGACAATATTTCTGTAAGATAAACTGAGTTCCTTGAAGTATCACGCTTTCTAATATTCCAATAGGGCTTACTTTTAGCTATAAAAGTTTAATATTTATAAATTTATACACCAAGCTTGCTATAGACATAAGATTTCTTTGTGTGTGTGTGTGTGTGTGTACATATATATACACACACCTTCTAAATGTTCTGGTTCTTCATGCTGAAATATCTTAACTTCCAGAAATTTGGATTTCAGATTAAAACTGTAAGGACTATCTTAAGGTTTAAGATTTCAATAGAGAAAAATAAACAAACTTACTTTATTATATACAAAGAACAAAGTTTCACCCAAGTATATGAACTGTAGTCAAAATATCTTCAAAAGACTAAAAAAATCATGTGACGTTCTGCACAAGATATAGGCCTTAAAATGGAGCAAGCAGTTGTTAAGCAGAGCTCTAAGTAGTTCTCCCATAATAGTCATTTATATTCTAGAGAACTTGGCTTTTTATGAACTCTTTGTGGTGGAGGAGGGGATAATATGTTAGGCCTCAAAGAGGTGGAAACAAATTTACATACATGGAAACAAATTTAAAATACTGAAGGAAGGGTTCTGTTTATTGTTGACAGTGATCTTTAAAGATAGCCACAGAAATATTAAGGAATTCTATGTAAATTCTAACTGATCCTAAAAATGGATACTACTTTACAGCTCTACAAAAAAGGAGAAAGCAAGCTGAGAAGGCAGAAAGAAAAGGTCTAGGAAAGGCAGCAACAAGTACAGACATAATTCAAGCACACGAGAAAAGACGAGATGATCCTTTCCAAGGACAAGTATTGGTGATATTTACCCATATAAAGTCAAGTCTGGAAGAACAGTCCAGCTCCTGTAGTAACTGCTACTTAATAATATACAAGTAAAATAACTTTCATTTGTTATGAAAGGCTGTTTTTTATCAAAAGCTAGAAATGCATATTTACTTAACACCAAATTAAACTTTATACATACTGAACTAAAGGGCTGACAGAAAAATGGGTAGCCATAGTAAACAAAACTAAATTGATAGAATTGCCTCGATATTATCTATTAATTTAAAACCTATACACAGGCTCAAATTATGAGGTTATAGTTTTCAGTTTTCTTAAAAAATGAGATTACTGATCCTCAAATTAACTAAAAATTGATCTGGGCTCGCAGAGGTAACCTGCTCCTAGTGATAGATTGCTCTGTAGTTTCTTCTACTTTAGTCCTCTCCACTGGATTGATGCCTCTGTTTTCTTTGTCTTTTCCATGTGATTTTTTATGCTGTGGATTTAAAGGGAGAAATTAAATCAATATAATGTAACCTTGGATACACATAGGCTATTTTCTATTTTCAAAGATCTGTAGTCAAGAAATTAAGTGTAAAAAAACCAGACGAGGCTCACATGGCAATAAGAGCCAGCAACTTATATGGCAAGTACAGATGAATGCTTTCATTAATCACTAACAGAAGAAGTGGGGTAAAAGAAATACCAATTTTCTATATGATTTTCTAAGGTATGATTACAGATTTTACTGGTTCTCAACAGAGAGCAATTTTTTGGCCCCCAAGAAACACTGGTAACATCTGGAGAAATTTCTGGTTGTTAAAACTAGAGGGTACTAATAGCCTCTAGTGAGTAGAAACCAGGGATGCTGCTACACATCATGTCATACACAGAACAGGCTACCATGACAAAGGAAGGAGTATTGAGCTCAAAATAGAAGAAACTGTTCTAGGGAAATAAAGATTTGCTATCATGTGAAAAGGACATTTCTTGTTTAAACATGGAATCTGATATATAGGCTACTTTTCACACTTCTTTTATTTAAAAAAATTTTTATTTTAAAACTTCATTGCAGATTCAGTCATTAATGCTGAGACAGATTATAAATCAACATTGGAGTTTTAAATTCAGATAAATTACCCACATCAGACTGTTATAAAGGAAAAAATAATTTAGCTGATAATCTAAAACCTAACCCCAGATGCTTTCTCGTAGTAGAGGGACTTCCTAGCCATAGCTGAGCCACTAAGTTTGGCTTTTAAGATGCCATAAAAAAGGTCTTGCTAGTGGCACAGGGGTTAAAGTCTCAGCACTAGCGAGCTACCACCAGCCACTATGCATTAGTTTGCTTCCTGGCCAGGGAGCTGACCCACATGGAGCAGCAGACCTCTTCTGAACTGCCCACTGCTCCCCACTGCCCCTCAGTGTATTTCAGTAGATCTGCCTGTTCCTCTCTCTACTGTCTCTGGTGAATCCTCTCACCACCCACCGCACCCCCACCCCCCAACCTCTGGCCTTTACTGCAGTTCTTCTATGTATAAATAAAAAAACAAAGCTTTAAAAAATAAAAGATATTCTAAATAATAAAGAAAAAATTTCTAATCATAGATTACAAAGTTACTAAGGTTTTGTTTTCTTTTCTGTCTTTTCTTACCTTAAAAGATAGAAGAGAAGGATGAAAAATGAAATCAAATATAGACGTCTCTAACAGTACAAAATAAAGCAAATGGTAGGAAAAATCAGGGGATAAAATTGCTTCAAAGTTAACAAAGAGGAATTTAATAGAATCCGAGAAAGTTTTTGACTTTTTAAATCAGAGAAAGTGAATCTTTAGACCTGGATAGAAAGACCTGCCAGTCGCTAAAAACACAATCAGACAAACGCCTGTCAGAAGCAGCACCTCAACTATAAAATATAACCATCAGCATACTGCACAGACTCTCTAGACTCGTCTTCAAAAGAGAGGGAAAGATGCTAGGCAGTTCACAATACCATATTCCCAACAGTGTTCAAAGGGAAGTAAGAGAGGTCACAGGATTTAATAACAGGATCAAGGCAGGCCAAAAAAAAAAAAAAAATCAGGGACATGATTTTTAATAAAAGAGCTTCTAGCAAGAGAAGTCACTAATAAAATCTGAGAGGTCTTTGGTTTTGCAATCTTTTTTAAACCTCCTAGCCTTCAGAGTCTGCCTATGGGCAGAGAGGAGATCCTAGAACTTCCATGTCAGATGTGCAAAGGAGAGAGAACTGCACCTCTCAGTGTCCATTCTGATGTAGGATGCAGAAAGGGGATATTCATAGTAGATTACCAACTAAGGATGCAATTAGGTCAAATTTTGCCCTTATTTATCTTACACAAAACCCCTGATGATCAATATTTGTACAAATAATCTTAACTGGTAAAGTGAACAAGCCATTACAAAGAAATGACAGAAAACTGTTTGCTGTCTGCTCTCAGCAAGAGTAATGACTTTGTAATGAATAGCAAATGATGGACTTAAATATGTGGAATGATTATCTGACAGGAAATAATCAGGTACCTGGAAAAATGGAACTCCGCCACTTGATGGACAATCCATACTGGTATCAACAGGTGGTTCGTGACTCAGAGGTTCTTCAGTGGTATTCTCCAGAACTGTCTTTTCTTCCTCCAAAACCTAAAATAAGAAGCTGGATGAGTGATGAAGTCCAAGGATTTCAAAATCTTCACAAAAGGCAGTTTTCTTCTTTGAAAATAGTGCCTGTTCCAGAAAAGTTAAGCCTCAAAAGAATTTTTAGCAAGTAAAATAATGAGAATAATCCATAATGTTTTTATGTAGAATACCTACACTAGAATGGCAAAAGTAGTAATCTCAGAATGGGACTAGTTTATTTTTTATTTTCTCTTTTGTAATATTTTGATTTCCCAACTCTTCTATATTACTAGAATAGATGATAGAGCTTGATTGTCTAAGTTCTAATTCCAACTTAATCTTTGTGACAAGGTAAGCCTTAGTGTTAATGTGTAAGATGGGGATAGTGTTAGGACCTACCTCAGAGGGTAACTGAAAGAATTTAGTGAGTAAATATGTATGTAAAGTGCTTAAAAACAGTGTCTGGTACATCATACACACAACATAAACACTAGCTATTATTAGATTAATAATAAAAAATGATTCAAATAAACCATTTTAAGAACCAAGCAACTATTAATTACGAAAGAAAGGGTAGGATTCAAGACCAAATAATAAAGTTCTTCATATGAAGTTAAAATTCTTCAAATGACATCAAGAATATATAGGAAGTTCAAAAATAATTATGCTTTAACTCTTACCTGACAGGTCTCTTCTTTATTGTTTTCTGAACAATTTAACATCTTTAAAAGCTCAGGCTGTTTCCTTTTCAACTGCTCAAGGAGCTGTTCACGTGGTTGGGTTCTCACTAATGTTGATGGGTATAAATAATTTTTCCTCTGTGGTGTTGTACCTTTAGTAGACATTATATAAGAGGAAAAATTAATGGGAGGATATGAACAAGATTGTTTTTAATGCTAGAACTATACTTTGCACTGTCTCGTCATATATCCATTGCCACACATGGGAATCAGTCTTTTCGTCAATCAGGAATATATTGCCTGTAATGAATTATATTTCCCAGCTTGAAAATTGATCTTAAATAGTCCACTTTTCCAAACCCACCCCCAAAACACAAAATTTCCATCACTAAAGAAAAACAACTTAACTTCCCTGGAAAGTAGACAAATGAATAAACCAACATTCTTTTGCACCAACTAAATAAGTGCTTCAAAAATAAACAGCTTTGCTGTGTGGAGGTTCCTAAAAATGGGAGTTTCTATATGATCCAGCTACTCCACCCCTAGGTATCTACCCAAAGGATACAAAAACATTAATTCAAAAGGACACCTACACCCTTTTGTTTACTGCAGCATTTTTTTATAATAGGTAAGCTATGGAAACAACCTAAATGCCCAAAAACAGATAAAGAAAATGTGGTATATACAAGTGGGCTTTATCCCAGGAGCACAAGGATGGTTCAACATCATAAAATCAATTAATGTAATCCATCACATCAACCGACAGAAGAATGAAAACCACATAATCATTTCGATAGATGCGGAGAAGGCTTTCGACAAAGTTCAACACCCATTTATGTTTAAGGCCCTTGAAGTCCTCGGAATAGAAGGAACATACCTCAACATGATAAAAGCCA